GTCCTCGGAAATCTTTTGAACTTGGCTCCTCGACAACCCACAAGCTCTCATTCCTTCCGCACACCATCTCCTCCATGTCACCCTCACCTCGAACGCCCAACTCGTCGTCTCCCATCTGGATTCCACTCGACCACCTGGCCTGCCCCTTGATGTCCCCAATCGGCTTTCTCAGTGTATGCCCAATCCATCTCCACTTTCTTCCAAATACTTGTTGGGCAATGGGTTCTTAGTTGGTTCGTTGCCCGGCCAGAGTTCCTTGTCGCTTATTCTTATTATTCCAGCCATCTGATCTTCAGTATCGAATGAGTGTAGGTGGCAGTTATTGATGAATGCCTGTATTTGTTGGAAGTGCTTTTCTTGACGTGCCAAGTTTCTGAACTATAAAGCAGCACTGACTCGACCTTGGTGTTGAAAATCCGGATCTTGTTCCACATGCTGAGTGCGGAAGATCTCAACACTGGTTTCAGATTAATGAACGCCTATCTTGCTGTCTTTCTGCTTCTGGTTTTGACATCCTCGTCTGGGCCGCCTGTAGTTGAAATGATGCTGCTTTGCCTAGGTAGGCGAAAGAAGCTACTTCCTTCAGATTTCTCCCATTGATGGTGATTGGAGCTTGTTGCTGTTGTTGTTGTTGTTGTTGATGCTATTGTTGGTTGGGTATCTTCATCACCTCCGTCTTCTCTACATTCACTTGAAGTCCCGTCTCCCTTCGCTGCCTCGCCTCTTCTGTCAACTTGTTACTTTTCGCCTGTAGATCTTCACGCTTATGTGACACTAGACACAAGTCATCAGCGAAATCCAAATCTTCTACGATCTCTTCCTCCGTCCAGCGTATCCCCCTCTTCTCACTCCTCACGGTCCATTGCATGACCCAGTCCACCACAATCACGAATATCATCGGTGATAGTAGACAGACTTGTTTTACTCCTCACTGTCTTCACTTCAAAAGCATCACTGAGCTGAGCTTTCCATTGTGAATTACTTGGCATGTGGCGTCTTCATATAGTTGTTGAATGAGGCTGATAAAGGTTTGTGGTATTCCGTAGTGTTGAAGTAACTGCCAAATTACTTGTCGGTCAACGCTGTCAAAGGCCTTTTCAAAGTCGATGAAGTTAAGGTTGCGTTGAGTTGACTGCCATTCTATGATATGCTCTGTTCTATGATGATGCGTACGTAGCGTAGCACTGCAATTTGATCCGCACATGATTTGTTCTTCCTGAATCCAGCCAGCCAGCTAGCCTGTTCCGGTCGTAATTTTGAATCCAGAGCATCCTTTAATGTCTCCAGGATGATGTGCTTTAATATTTTGCTTTGAGTGGACAGCAGCATGATTCCGCGCCAGTTCTTGCAAGGACTTAGGTCGCCCTTATTCGGGAGTTTGACAAGGTAGCCCTTCTTCTAATCTATTGGCAGGTACCTTCCCTTCCTTCCAGACTATTCGCAGTAGTGGTGTGAGCATGTCCGCCACTGTTGTCTCTGCGTCTGTTCTCAGTGCTTCTGGCAGGATTCCATCTGGCTCCGCTGCTTTCTCGCATTTCAGTAGCTTTATGGCCCTTAGGACTTCGACTTTCGTCGGAGGGCTTGTGTTCACTTGTAGTTCTTCGGCTGGGCTGCTGGTGGTATTTCTGGACGAAATGCAGGTGGTGGTCGACTCAAGAGCTTTTCGAAGTGGTCGGCCCATCGTTTCCTTTGTTTCTCTTCTTTCGTAAGCAAATTTCCGTCATCATCTCTTATCCGTTTCATCTGTGTTGATATCTCCCCTCCCAGATAGTAACCTGGTAATTTGATACAATGTTGTCAGGTCTCCATCTCTCCTACCTACAGCCTGTTCTGCTTCACTTGCCAGTGTGTCGCAGAAGTGTCTTTTGTCTTTGCGCGCACTCTTCTTCACTTCTTTGTCCAGTGTTTTACACGTTGCACTCAGTTCCTCTTCTCGTCGTTCATCCTTGCACTGAACCGGTTTATCTTCTGCTTCACCATCCTCCTCTACTCTGTCAGCTTCCATGTGTCCATCGAGATCCATTCCATATCTTCCTTTCTAATACGGTTATGCAGGTTTCTTTTCACATAGCTTGCAAAGAGTTCCAGTGCTCATCCACACGGGTTTCTTCAGAAATGTTCCTCGATATCTCCCATTTCGTCTTGATGGCTGACGTGGAGATTTTCCTCGTAGTTTCGTCCCTCAGTTGCTGAGTGTTTAACTCGAACTGTGGTCTATCACCAACTTCCTTGAAAGCTAACAACTTCATTTTAAAGGTAGGTTCCTTGCACTAGATAGTGAGTGGTGTCAACCTACATCTGCTCCTCTTCGTAGTTTGATCTTGTGTCCAGTGGGCTGCGTCTCCACTTCTCCACATTCAGATGAAGTCGATCTGATTTTCAGTGTGTCCTGGTGTCTGGTGAAATTCATGTCGCTCGCTTTGTGGATATCCTTGTGCTTGAACACAGTGCCTCACTGCAATCACTAAATCGTTGAATGCACAGAATTCTGCAAACGATTCTCCGTTCTCCTTCATTTCAACTGGCGCTTGTCGGGCCATGGTTAGTTCTCTTCTAGTGTTATCCGCTCCCAGTTGGCATTCATGTCACCCCACCCATTAGAATTTTGATGTCTCCATATACAGTCTTGTCCAGTGTTGATTGCAGTTGTCCGTAGAATTCCTCCTCCTTCTCTTCACCTGTACTATTTGTAGGTGCGTAGCATTGTATGATTGTGACCTTCCTTCCTGTTGAGTTGAACCTAGCTATCATGATCCCGATGCTGGAGGAGATTGGTTCCGACTGCATGAGGGTCTTCGATGCCTTCGAGGGGACATCATGATAGTCACTCCAATACTCAGTGTGCTCGTAATTGTCGTCTAGGTGACCGGAGTAGATTATTGATTCTCCAGTTGACATTTTGGAGAGTCCACTTCCATTCCATCTGCTCTCGCAAATTCCTAGCACCTCAGTGCTATACCTTCCCATCTCCTTTGCAATCTGGGCGACCTTGCTATGTTCAAACATAGTGCGGACATTCTGTGTCCCCATTCTTACAATCCATAACATCGAGACAAGAGAAGATAGATCGGCCAATTGGCTTCCTCAAGGCTTTCACCAACCGGAGTCATTTTGTCTCTCCGGTTCCAGCGAGGAATGATTCTGTTTTTATTTTTTACATTTTGTTTGTGCTTTGAAGTTTCTGTAGTGGTTGGATTGATTTTACGGGGTAGGGTTGCTAGCTCTATGCCCAACGTTTTCTCCTCACCCGGGCTTCTGACCAGCTAGTAACTGGTGAACTAGTTAACCATCTAATTTCACCTTTTTTCTAGGCGCCCAATATTTGTAATACTATTCGGTCAAGTTTGATTATGGTTCATATAAACTAGTGATTATAGTTTTATTGTCTTAAAATGCACATATTCTTGTTAATAAATATAAGTAAAAGCAGCATCAAGCCATTCGCAAAATTACACTGTCTGCCAAAACAGTTTAAAACATGTCGATAAATTTAAAACCAATAGCCTGTTGGATAATATTCAAGCTCCAGAATCAATGAGTCCTGGATGCAAGCATTTGAAGGACATCAACTCATCGGTATAGATATTTTTAAATAGTGGGAAGTAAGCAGTAGGATGCGTATTTCCTGAACTCCACATTTTAAACGCAAACGGTCACAATATGGATACAATCTGGGGCAATTTAGGAAAGCAATGTAAAGCGCTCCTACGCTTACAGAAGTTGACCTATGTATATAGGTCACATAACTTCTGTAGTTTTGGTCACTTGTAGAGATTTTGAGTGACTGGCATGAAACTCTTGTTTAAAAAGGGATTGAAGAAAATAAAAAGAAATAAAGAGCGGTAACTGGTCATGCTAACAGCAGAATATTATAAACTTCATTATCTTTTGTCGGCTTTCCTTAGTTCGTCAATCATTACCTCAATCTATTTTGTTCCCCCTATTTGGTTGATCCCGTGTCAGACGCAACTTCACATTTGTTCCCAATGAATAACTGTTCTTACCGTTGTTGTGGTCGCCTGATTAGGGTGTGAGTCATTTAAGACGGTAGCTGTGGACAGTAGAGTCACTCAGTGTTACTTACTTCAGTGACTATAATGAAGTTTTCGAACAAAATTGTGATCACCGTTAACAGCGGCATACGGCCAATAGTTATTAATCTGGAAATCAATTTAACTGTTATGTGTCTAGAATCGTAGTGTTATAAATCGATGTTCCATAGTTACTTTACTTTTGGTAGACGGAAACAATTACTTGTGCGTGTTTCTCTTCACTTGTTTTTGTGCTATTTGTAAATTTTCTGTTAATTTGCTCAATCTTTCTTCCAGTTGTAGTTTGATTAACTTGGTTTCACTCAGCTCTTTCTCTACTTCATGTAGACGTGCTTGAATAGCCATATTTGAATTTCTACAGGATTCTAACTGAGTTTCAAGTTCTTGAGACTGTAAGTTAATAAACAAACATTTAGTACTTGACGATTTCCACATCATGTTTCAATAATAATGTTTATCATTGGATACTGTCAGTTGATCAAAGCACCTAAAAGTAACATGCAACTTCATTTGTGCACTAAAGAAGTGAGATATACACCCTGAAGAGCCCTTGATTAATTCAACAGACTGAAATGTATGAGACTCACTTTTAAGAGAACTCATGTGCAAATAAACATCCTATTAATATTCTTCCGGGGAGCATAGTTTTGCTGTTATCAATAATCAGTGAAAAAAAATTATGTCAGTCATTTTAAGGAAAAATGTTGTTTGTCCTCATCAGAAAAAAAGTGTTAGTAATTGCGAAAGCTGAGGATTTTGTGCAGCAGTAAGTGGGTTCAAACTTTAGACAGCGAAACTGGGGGATAACACTTACACTGTACATTGTAAAGAATCTTATCACACATTATTTTTCTGAATATTTTAACAGAAAAGAACTTGTAGTCAGACCTGGTAAAGACATTCCAAAGGTGATAAGCATCTAGTGTTGTGATGAACAAATGAGATTACCAAACAAGATTTCATTCCTTCTTATTAATGCAAGTAAATTCATAGTGGATGGTCTGAGAAAATGTGGAAGTATATGGAAGGACTTAGCATCGTTCAAGACCATATCCTTTTAAAAGCAAACATCAAAAAATAACCATTTGTCGTTCTTGGATATCCCACCAGGTAGTAAGTTAAGAGGTCGAATAAATGATCTATTTACGGAAATCTGACTTCAAAAAGATTGTGTGGGGAAGGCTACTTATAAGGTTGTATGTTAGTAGTTTATATAGCAGAGTTGGAATATACAAGAAATGAGAACGACCACTTAGCGAAGATTTCAAAGGAAATAAGATAGTATACTGAGTGCAAACATAATGGGGAAGAACATTACACAATGAGGTGTCAGAAAGAAGACTTTAAATTCATCGCATGATTAGTTCTTTTGTCAGTAACAGTTATATTTCCTCAACAAATACTTTTTGTTTTTCCACTAGACTTCTCTCAACTAGTGTTTAAGTCTTTATGATTCTCGTCCAACACAATATAAACCAAGTGGTATGGAGTGACTATTTAGATGAATCCAACATATCCATGAAGTGTACATTAGGTGATGAAATCAAACTACTAAGTACAACACTAAAAGACAACTTATTTTTATTGAATTAGAAACCGAATAAATCGAAACTTTATCTGCATTTTCTTTTAAAGAAAAGGTTTTAGCATGATTTTGAAATGCAGATTAAAGTCTGTCGTCAGCAAAATGTATTATGCGACTAGTCTTATCACAGTTGAAAAAAACCACCACCACAAGCCACATCACCATATAAAAGACTGCAGCGTATCTCACTCCTTTAATCATTTACACTTTGGACTAATCGAGATATCCAGTTGAGGGTGATGAAGCACCTACCTAAATGACTGAAAATGCCCTTTGCATAGCAGTTTGTCATGGGTGTGCATTCAAATGTTTTCCAGCGCTGGCTGCACTCATATTTAAGCCCTCGTTGTCTGTTTGAAAACAATTTATTATTGCGTCAAACATACCCTGGTAACATACTTTATCTTATAACCAACGTTGCTTCCAAAACCTACTATTCTCAATTTTTCCGTTATCATAACTGTTCTGGTTAGTACAATTTATTGATACTGACACTATTACGCAAGAGGTGGCTGTCATGCCACGGTGGATTGCACTGTGGTATTTGAGCCGATAGGTGTTGGATTTTACTTTTACTGAGAACAAAATATCTCATTGAGGTGCAGGTACATCTAGCTGATGACCCCGAAGCAAGACGAAATGCGTGTCCTGGACTTAGTTGCTAGTCACCACCAAACAGATCACAGCATGTTCGGGTTATTGTAGGTTGACTCCCCATTTCATTTCCCTATCCTGCCTAACTTACATCTCAAATACTACTCTAATAACTTCTGACTTGGCCTATTAAGTGGTCTTATTGTAATTACTCTTGTCATTATCAAAAGAAGATTAAGAACAGAAAATCTGTCACTCGCACAGTTACGTCGAAGAATTTAACTCACAAAACAGTTACATAGAAACGAGAATTATTGGTGAAAGACAGTATTAGTTAGCCTTAAGATGAGCTGAATCAAGAACTTTGCTGAGTCTCATTAAGTAGAGTAGGATTTTGCCTCCCAAAATTGTACAGTCTTGCACTTCATAAATAATTATCACTCATTAGATTTGGAATAGATTCTTGAATAAGGGGATGTATAGGTCTATTTTATCAAAATTATCAGAGAACACGACTCAAGATGTAAATATACCACATTAATATCTAGTATCCTTCTGCTCAGTTACACTTAACTTCAAACCTAATGTGACCTCCATATATATGGTCCGAGTTATAAAACAATTCGTTGCTATCCAACTTCTTTCAGTAGTATTCCGAACATCTCTGATCATTTCTACAAACGAGAAAGTTTTGAATTAGTGAAAACCTAAACTTATCATAAATGAAAAGTTTCGAGCACAGTTAAACACTCACTCAAGTTATTAGATCAACCAAGTTAGTGATATAGGCCCTGCATTTGTGGACAATGAATGAGAGCAGATTGTAAATCAGCTTCCGTAAGGGCTAACCAAAACAGCTGTATTCATTTATATGTGACTTTCATATAAGGCTTTCTAAAGACCGTAGGATGACTAGTCTCCTGACTAATCAAAAATGTTGAACACTAGTACTCCAAATTCATGATTATGACAAGTTTCAAACTTTGGAGGACTTGTTAGTTTGCTAATTTACAAACTTGCACACTTAGCTTCAGGGACGTACTTTGATGGTCACGTATGCTAGGCTTATATTTAAGCAATAAACTTTTTGTTGTGGTTGATATGATATGCATCTGCCTCTAAATGTCATCTCATCCCGTTGACGTTTTTAAATGATAAGAAATGACAGAGACTGATTGTTTCAACGCAGATCAATAATTTTAACGTCTTTGTTGAACAATATGTGTGTAAGTAAATTTGTAGCGAAAGTAATTTCATGCATGTGAAGTGAATGATTAACCAAAATCATTTTCTTTCGGGTATAAAGTAAATTGCATAAAATTTCACTGTGTAGGAGAAACACTCATGGTATCCAAAAGTTTTTGGAACTTAAGAAGGAACTTTTTAATACAGACACTACTAGAAATGAAACTGAAAGCTGACGTAATATATTATTCTATATTGACAAATTAACTTACATAGAAGTGATTCTCTGATTCAGCTGTACAGAGTGACCAGAAAATACTTTTGACCTAACTCATTAGTGCATGAACTACGTTTAAGCGATAACTCATCTAAGGTATATTGGAAAACACCCCGTAACAGCTTAAGCATCATCTCTCCCCCTCTATAAGTATTGCTTTTGCCGAAACGAAATAATAGTGTCTATAAATAATGACTGTATGGACTGGTTAGAACTAATTAACCTGTAAAAAGCGTTTAGATTTATCTCATACGAATGAAGAACACTTTTCCACCTGCAAAATATAAGCTACATGTGTTTTCACAGCTACATCGGTTTATTCATTATCTGACGCCACTGAAATCTTAGTCAAGGTATTGACTCATGCCTGTACATTCTCTGTTAACTCATCTTCCTCATATAAATTTAAGTATTGCTGACTTTCTTCTTTCACCACTTCCTTGATACGTGACATCATTCCAGGTTGCTCTGCCAGTTGTTTAAAGAATAGACAATCAGCCTGAAGTTGTGAATTAATTAGTATTAATAGTAAAAAAAAGCTAAAGTATGAAAATGTTTTTATCGCAGAATATTGATTCAGTCAAAACATATTTTAGAAAATTAAGTGTTTTCTGAAAGCAACAGCAGCTCTGCCATTTCTTCACAAGCCAAAGTAGTAGGATTTCGTAAACAAATAGAACTGGTAAATTAAATAGTATATAGAGGTCATCTTGCTTTTAATCACATAAGGTTATAATAGCGACTGATGAGTTCAGTGCTCCAGGTCAACAACAGAAAGTAACAATATATGACGAAATCAAACTTATGCGGTATTTATATTGTAGTCAGTTTAGTGACAATGAATTGAATGAAAAAGCTATCTTACATTAGCAACTGCTGTTTTGCTAGCCATTTCGGCTGCTGATTTATGCACATTGGTTTTGCTCTACTTCAACTCTTAAACGTTGAAGTGACTTCTCTAACTGTTCTTCGTTACGTGATCGTTTCACTATTTCTTCCCTTGCTTTTATTAGCATTGTACGACTTGATGCTAGTTCATTTTGTAATAATTCTAAAGATTTACGATTATGTGTTAGCTGTTCCTGTAATGAAAAAAGTTTGAAAATAAAATAAACTAGGAAAACAGGCCTGAGTGTTGCTTTCTAAAAGCCTAATAATAAGGATTCAGGTAAGTCAGAGATTGTAAAAGGGAGTAAAAGATTTTTAAAATCGAGTAACATTCAGTGAATCAAAACCTACTTCAGGTATTCAGTTGAATTCGCAAGATTCATCCAAATACTAGGAGCTTGAGATAGTGAACCTGAGTATAGTTATTTCACTAACCTTGAAATACCTATACTTCTTTTTTATATTTAGGATTTTTCATGTCTTTTATGAAGTATTGTCCAAAGTTTTGATTTTATACAGTCAAAATATTAGAAATATTTACTTTACTTGAACCAACAATGACCAACTTGGTGAAAAGCCGAAATTTCAACAGATTTCCAGAACTTAACCTTACTCTAAGCTTCTGTTACAAAGTTAGTTGTTTTTTTTATAAACCTGTGTCTTTTAAGTCAGTTATTGAACTGATCACAACAGATCTATTTCGAATAACGTTTGTACCATATTTAAGTATACATATACTAGGATTACTCCTCTTTGATACTTCCTAGTCACAGTCTTTACTTTTAGAGCGGTCTCGTGTTTCTACAGCTATACATTCATTTCAACATCTCATAAATATCATGAAGGAATTTTAAAATATCGAAATTTCATAAACACCCACTTCCTACATTACAACAAGTTAGGTAATTAAAAATTATGATAAAAGCAATTGAAGCTATCCTTCAGGTTGTCGCTTAACTTAAATGCAGACATAATGAAATCCATATACTTGAACAACCTAACGATTTCAATTTATTCAGAAATTTTAATTCGAATTCACTTATTTCTAGAACTAAAATGAGGTAAAACTATAGTCGCTTTACCAATTGTCAGGCTTTACCAGAAATCATATTGCGGTTGAAACCAGAAAGATTGTAATGTTTACAGTTGTACCAACGCAAGTGCACAGATAGACAAAACCCTCCATTCAGTTACTCACTGCAAAAGAAATCAGAGTTACTAAAAAATAAACAAGCGGATATGCCAAAGAAGGTGGGTTAAAGGACAATTTTATACCAGTGCGTAGCATGGAACAGTTTACTTGGTAGTTAGCGGTGGAATCCAGGACAAGCGTTTCGTTTTGTTTTTGAAACTCGTCAGCTGGAAGCACCTTTATCCTGGAGAGTGGTGGCGTTCCAGCTAAAACCCAAGCCCAGTACACATTGCTTTAGATGCCAAAGCAATAAGGACCAAAATAACAAAGGCAGATTACAAGTATCAATAAATAATAACCGGTACCCGTTGTACTAGAGGTGGCTGTCGTGCTGCAGTGAATTAATAGATGACTCTTTGGCATTTGAAGCGATATGTACTGTGTTTGAGTCACGGCGAGAACGACCTCTTTCTCTAGCGTGGCGATACATCCAGCTGGCGATCCTCAGATAAGACCAAAGGTTAGTCCTGGATTCAACAACTTACCGCCAAGTAAACTATGAGTTAATGAATGTTCGAACAGTACTGAGGAATTCGTACAGAAGTATATCTGGAAAAAGAAGTCGATCAATTCGCACTAGTATGACAATGAGAAATCACAAGTATCAATGAGTAACTATTCACAGGAATTTTTAGGGAAGCTGTGGAGTAGCATTCACTTCTAAATGTATCCTGTAATAGCACTCTTCAATGATGCCCTCGAAAAATTCATCACCAAATCGGGTCGTTTTTCATTGTTTGTAAGCACATATTTCTAGATTCCATGCTCTTAAAGTATGAGTGTGAAGAAACCAACTTTATCAAATAGCTTTCTTATTTATGATGCATCTCCTCGTTTATTATACTTAAGAGTACAAAACTGGGGAAATAAGAGTAAAAACAAACTACTTATTTTAGATACAATTCGTCATTCACCAACACCGTTCTGACATTTTAATGTTTATTGCATAGTCTGTACTGGTCAAACATATAAGCAATACTTTGAGATGAAGGCAGATAATGAAACCTTGGCTACTAGAAGGGTTAAAGTAATGGTATTCAAACTGTCGTATTTATTTTGGGGAAACTGAAAATTACTCAATAGAAAGATAATTTGTTGACTTAAAGAAATTAAAAACGTTATTTTTTCCATTCAAGTGATTGAATTTCTTCCCAGCTTATGGTTAATATAAAGCCTATACTGTTATCAATGTTGTTTTAAAGTTTTAAAGAGAACGGACGGCTCATTGTATTTAACAGCCAATATGCCATCTTTATCTCTGTAGATATACTTCATCAATTTAACATTTCCATATGAATCTTTTATATAGTTTACACTTGTATACATAGTTTTATAGCTCTTATAGTCAATAACTAACCTTTGTTTTTGAATTAACTGTCGCACACTTATCTTTCTAGGTCTAGAAATTAAAGGAAATATATTAAGTTCAATAATAAAGTAGAAAGAAGGGCCTGAGAAATATGAATTACCTTAGCTTGATTTAAATCCAGTGATAATATTTCGACTTCTCTTTGTTTTTGGTTATGTATGGTATCCAGTTGTTTAAACTTTTCTTCAAATGAACTTTGAATCATTTTCTGTTCAGACTTTAGCAGTGAAACTGAATTAATTTGAGTCTCTAACTCCTGCGGTTTGGTTACAGTTTGATTTCAAGAAAGAGGTAAGTTATCGTATTGAAAATATATCGAAGCTTTTTTATCATAAATACAATCCAAAATTATTTTTAATTGTCACACTTCCTTTTACTCAGGTGTTTATGAATAGATTCAAAACACTAAAGAAGTCTTGGAATTTCATAAATAAATAATTAACCTTTAGATTATATACAATTATACAAAAAGATTATAGAGGAGCATCCTTGATTTATGTGGAATAAAGATATTTCCTAAAATATATCTACCATTTGAAAAGACAAGTTGCTTAAAGTTGATTCTGCTAAATTTCGTTTACTTGGTTTAAAGTTAAGAAATATTTTGGATACTGGCGCCTGTTTTCTGAACTTTAATTGTAACTAAGGTTACGTTGTATTTTTGATCAAAAAATGAAATCCGTTGACTAGTTCGGTCATGAAAATTACTAACGAAGTATGTCAGAACACTATATTCGATACTAACTATTCACAAGAAAGGGGAAAAAAGCTGTCGATGAAAAATTTCCGCTTGAGAGTTTCTATGGCGTACCTCCTGAAGGAAAAACGTTGTTTACTGTTGAACTCCAAAAAGTTACTTCTGATCTCTCCAGGTTACAGGGTGGGATATATGAAACATTAGAATTTTCGTAATTCTAGTTTGTGTATAAAATTGATATTGTGATGGAAGTTTGTTGCAGAAGTATGCGGAATTCTTCTGTAATGATTTAATTTATGAATATATATTGTAAATCCATTAACTACAATGTAGAAGTATTTGTTCCTCATATGCAGCTGCTATCAACTAAACCTTAGATATTAATTTGAATGAACTCGAAGAAATTTACTGTTATCAGTGATGACCTCATTAGCATTGTAGATAGTTTTATCTGATTTATTGAATGCTTCAGTGTTTTCAAAATTCAGAAGTCATTCATCTAAAGAGACCTCAAAAATGTTTTTGTGTCTGTAGTTCTATTGTCACTCGAATCTCATCTTTGGAAAGGCATCATAAGCAAGTGAAATCGAGGCTTACATCCAAGGTTTCTCCGAGAATTTGAGGTTTGTAAGGAAATCAAACTACAAGAAACCCACAGTCAAATGTAATGTAAATACTGCCACCAAGTTAACTAATATTTTTTTAAGATAATACTCGTTAGTCAAGACGTACCCGATTGCAGGTTTCAAGCTCATGAGTAAGCGACTGAATTTGTCCATCTTTTTCTTGTAGAATATTTGTTTTATTTTGAGAAGCATTTTTACACTGTGTAATTTCATCCTATTGAGAAAAAGCATCCCAGTTCACGAGAATGCAAATTACTACTGTTAATTAATTAGGTAGCATAGTAAAAATAATAAAAATAAAGTGCACGCTATTAACTCCTTATTCAAGTTATCTTTTTTCAACAAAAAGTATGTCTATTAGGACTTTGATACCGTTTCAGTCATATTTTTCAAGTAGATGTACTTTTTGACCTACGGGTTTTTGCTGGCTAAGATGTGCTGTTTACCACTTTTATTATTTCTTTCAAAACACCAACATCCTACACTGTGGAAGAGGTATGGACGAGAATATGACATTAAGGCAATGTAATATATTTCACAGTAGGGGAGCATTTTTAAGATTCTCGCGAACAGTAATAGATGACGGAATGCCATAGAAGAGGAAAAGTTGTCCGGTTACTGGAGAGCAATCAGTTTCATGTTGTCCAGTCCTGAGTGCTGGTTAAATTCTGTTGAACATCTTGTAATGTGGCCACCAAGATAGCATACTCAGTATCATGGTGTAGTTTGATGGATATTAGTTGGTTTGAGACAGCTGGCGAAAAGCCTTAGACCTAGGTCTCGTGACTGCCTGCACTCGTCAACAAAGTGTATTCGCAACCGGGAGTGAAGTAATGTCACCTCTGCAACCTGAACCCGCGTCACCCAGTGTTGCAGTCAGCAATGTTATCATAGATCTGTTCAGGCAACAACTGATCTTTTGTGGGAATGGAATAGATTTGAGTGTTAACAAGCATAAAACCTAGGTTCAGGGCTTCCTGCCAGTTGCCTCCAACCAACTAACATCCATCAAAAAAGTGAGTTTTTAAAAAATCAGAATCTTTTTTCCATATATTTTTAGTACACGTATTAAACATTCTAAATCCACGAACTCGGTAGTTTCAAAAGGTTTTTCCGTAGTCTCTTTACTATTTCCCTTCAGTAGTACAAAGTGAGAACAATTAAATAACGGATGCAACTACTGGTTTGATGAAAAGTGAACGAAACATTTTATATCCGCTTTGAATGTTTGACCTCAGAAAATAAAGACTGAAGACTGGTTCCCGAATAAACATAGTCTTGGCCCATTTTGTTGAGACTGAATTTGGACTGCACAACTTGATATCTGTTTACTTGTTTTCTTGATACAAAACATGAAGCAGCAAATGTAATCGGATTCATATAGTTAGGTAAAGAAGCACATGTAGTTTTCGGGTACTTATGGGAATACGAGGGCTGTGTCTAACGTGGTAGGTTAAGAGAAGTTCAAATCTGTAATTATTTGGTTGAAATTCGACTGTTTAGGCTGATGAGTCAAAGCCTGTCATCAGTGATGTCCTTAACAAGCACAATATTTATAGAAATTCTGATATTTTGCTCAATATATCTAAAGTGACATTTCATTAAATCGAGGTTTTCAAAAAGAATATAAGATAGTCTATGTGGAATTCTGTCTTTGAAAGTAGTTTCATCAGAAGCAAAATTTGGAAAATGTCTTCATTCACTGTCGATGTCGCTGTTACGAAGGAAGGAAACTTTCATCGGGAACATATACCCAAAATTACTGGCATCAAAACTTAGTCGACAAAACATAATGTTTGCAAATATTGCATTTTAGGTATTTCATTCAACGGATGATTTTGATGCGAACAGTAGCCAAGTTTCTTAATTCGATTATATATTTCCAGGCCTTAAAGCTTAACCACTAGTATAGAGACAAAACACAGACAGGTACATCATCAGTTTCTCGACCCACTGGTTGTCACTGCGTTATTGTAAAGTAAAATATTTAGAAGGTTTTGTAATTTCTATTCATTTGATTAGGCGTAGACCCAGTGATCATCACTGAAGTATTTTCATTCAAACTTTTGTGTACAATCGCTGTTCATTCAATTTCCTTCCCTTCCTGATAGTCGACTTGGATATATAAATATTATCTTCCTAATGCTTATCACTGTTCCAATCTTAAGCTCAATATTCTGACATGATTAACAGTGTGCTTGCTATCACATTTATGCAGTATAAAGGGTGTTTTAAAAAGTTTTCCATACTAATCCTTGCATCCAGAAGATACAAAAAAATCGAGACTATTGAAGGTGCTGTTCTTCACAGACTGATGTCAGTGTGAAAACCAATGGAGCCTTGGTAGCACTTGACTGCTGTTTCATTCTAGTATGGACGGGTTTTGAGAACAATTACTCATCAGTGGCACCGGATAAAGGTCACGCTGTATAAAGAACTAACAGAGAGCAGAGAATGTAGACTATCGGATTTGAACATAGTAGCTCACTGTTTAACATGCTAACAATAAAACCTGAAGATCCTGGTGGAGTTCTTGATGGGGTTATAAGTATGCACCACTCAGGAGTCTCATTTAAGGACAAAACAGCTGTCCAGTGTTACCATGTTTTCAATCGTTCTCCACATGATGTCCGTTCGTAATGAATAGGAACTTGAAATAAATAAACCCCATTAACTTCGATATGAGTGTGTAGTATTATTACACAGTCATCAGAACCAAAATAATTACAGGTGTTTCTGAAAGTTGGAAAACTGATCCGTTTCTTGCTTGTTTTGAGTTGAACCAGTTTCTTTGAAACCAGTTTTCAGCAGTTATTGAAAACCTAGTGGTATCACTTGACAACAGCCATAGTAGAAAGAAGAAAAGTGAAATGACAATATGAAATGTAAAATATGTGTTTTGACGCACTTTGACTTTCAAAACTGAAAACTGTTCACCGACTAAGAGTAATGAGGATCATTTCTAGAGACTGAGTCCCCAGGATATTCAGAAATAAGTTCTCAAGATTATACTTCCTAAACTAGATCAAACTTTATATAGGATAACTAAACGAATAGAATTCTGCTTTCTGAAAAGGTAACCAGGATCCGGTTTGTCTTATCTTGAGGTCGATATTAAGGAGTAAAAAGAAATGTGTTTTTAATTACCCCTGAACCGATTTGTTTGTGTGCAAAAAGATTTAAAACATGGTAAACATTCATTCAAAAAGAAAACAAATGAATTAATATGTTCTTCCTTACTGCTAAACAGTACACTGATCGAAAATATATATCATACTTATACTTCAAAAAATAACCAAAGAAACTTTTAGTGACAGTTTTTAGGAGAAGCAGCGTACATTAGATAAAATCTGTCAGTGTGAAGATTCAAATCACTCACTTTTAGTTCAGTAATCTTATTTTGCAACCGAGTGATTTCTTTCTTATACTCTGAATTTTCATTAGTCAGTTGATTTAGATCCTTTTTCAACAGACTAATTTCTAATTGATGAGCAGTATGCACGGAGTGTTTTTCTTCTTGCAGGGCACGAATTTCTGTAGCACTTGTTTGTGCATTTGTCAGACTTTGTTTAGTCATCTCTTGAATGCCTGTTTCCAGTTGGTTATTCACTGACTTTACACGTGTTAACTCTGCTTCCAGTTGCATTGAACGACCTATTTGTAAATCCAGTTTTTCGCGCACATTTGAAATTTCTTTAAGCATTTTCATTATCTATTTTACAGGTAAGTAAAATGAATGTCTTTAAATATTCACTTGCTTTGGAATCACCATAAAATAATGTTCACGAACAAATTTTAAAAACGTCTCGTTTATTTACGAGTTAATACAAAGCTCATTGGAGACGTGCTACTGAAGCCCTATGTTCCATCAGGAACCCAAGGGACAAATAATAATAAAGACACCATAGTATAGTTATGATGGAGGCAACAAGGAATCTAGGCGCAATTTTGTGTTGATTCAAGTTAACACCTTTTAAATTGAAATTTCAGTGTGAAATAAGACTGAGAAAACGTAAAGAATGTAATATTATTGGTGGTAAATTACTGAAGAAAAGTTTCGAAAATCAAAGGTGAGGAGCAAAAAAATAGGTGCATAATAGCAGTGTTCAGCATCTCGATATACACAAAGTGAAAATCCACCAGGATTATTACCGACTTATGGCCTCTATTTTATATCACTGACTTTGTACTGACGAACTGTATTAAAGAAGTCGGCATTGCTTTACGTGACTTATGAAAGTAGTTGATGAGCTCATAGACTGACTCGGTCAACAAAGAGATACTACAAACAGTGAAAAATTCAGTTATCATTCTGTTTCTTGCCAATATCATATTGGCAGACAAAGTATTATTCAAATAAAAAAACTTTTACTTACATAACTTTATTGAGATGTTATGCTCGTCAAATCAAGTTTAAGCTGGAGAAAAAGCTAAGGGTGACCAGTACAAAAAATAATACCATGTCCTGAACTCCCTTTCTTTCATTCTGAACCACGTGAATAAATCTAGGCTAACTGGCTCGGGTCTTTGAGATAATAGGAATCAATATTAACAGACCCTGATGGCTGCTCAAAAATACTAAAACCGGTAAAATTATATTCACTGTTAAAAATTTCGAAACAACATTTTGTGGACCTTTGTTTAATAAGCCATTCTACTTATGGGAACTTACTTGTTTAAGGGATGTCTTTGATGTAGTTGGAAAGGATAGAAAATGCAATCATTTCCAAAACCAAATGGCTTTCATTCACATTCCCAAATGATCAGTTACAAAGTAATGAACATTCTCTAGCTACTTATCGTTGTGTTTTTGCTTTTTACCCAGTGGTTTTTGAATGAATATTAACACTTTTTGTTCATCATATACGACTTTAACTGAATCAGTGAATTAACAATAACTACCATGTTGCGAAAAATATTAAAAAAATATTCACTTGATTTTTCCTTTCATCACCAATTTGTTCAATATTTTCCAGTTCAGATTTCATTTTGGTCAGTGATTCGTCGCGTTCTTTTACCTGAAAAATCATTGACTATCGGTAAAACCCCACGCTGCTACTATATTAAAGTTTCCAATTTATCATGTGCCATATGAAATAAAAAATTGACCGGTAAGTACCCGTGTTTCTACTACATGAATTACGCCTGTAGAAGTCAATATTAATTGATGTAGTCTATTGAAATACAAGGTACAAGGATGTAGCCTATGTTATTCAGTGTCATATTTATGTAAATATAACTTGCATCCAACGTCAACTTTTCCCTCAAAGCCCAACTCTCCAGTCAAATCTTGACCAAGATTAGTATAAATCATAATATTATTCTTTTTCGGGAATTTTACGATATTCACTAGAAAAGCCTAAAGTAATGAATTTCTGTCAAAATTTAGCCTAGAGTCTCTGTGATGGAATGTCGTTCCCAGTCAGATGATGAAATCAAATTGATTTTTCTTCTTTATTTTTGTTAGGATCGTTACGGATGCGTATTTTTGAGGCCCAATACAATTCAGATACCGTTAATAAGAAAATAATTTTATTGAATCCGAATATATGGTATACTCTTTGCAAGAAGTTTCCTGTTTATTTACATTCATTGCTTAAGGAATAATAGCGTGTCATAATATGAGGCACAAAACAGCCCATGTTAGTATAATATTTCTTGATCACAATAAAAGGACATTAGGTGAGTTTCTTTAACACCTTTTCAGTTTCTTAGCCAGCAGATAAACAAATCGGTAAAGTTCAAAAAACAGCAGAGGCCTTGAGCATTTATAATTGAATTCATCTTTGTACTATTATATTGCCATTATCACTATTTCTAATTCTATATTTGATAATTTCCGATGTTATTTCATTAACCTTCCCAATGATTGCAACTTTTAACATAATACTTTCAATTCACCTCAATCAACTTGTCTTATTGATTGTTTATTAACTCTACCATGTTTTTACTCCTTTTTTTATCTAGATGTACCTTACAAACGATCTAAAATGTCATACCTAACCACTTTTTGTTTTTATTTAAACTTAAATGCGTCTAATTTGTACGCATTGACCAAGATGTAGATTATTTGTTCATTAGAAATTAACTAGTTCATGCTACACAGTCAGTTTTGCTGACAAAGTCACTTGGATCAATTTTACATTGCTGCTGTTGAGTTAAGCGCCTCAGTATGGTAGTGCGTCCTGAATGGTTTTGAAATGCTTGTGAGCGAATAATATGCTTTCTAAAGGTTTAACTAGTTAGATCACTTATGTCTCCAAAACACCGTTATATTTTTTCAGTGGTAACTGTTAAACGTTAACCAGAAAGCCAATGGAACTTATGCTATAAACTGTATATCTCAACCAAAACTTCTGAGAACGATAATCAGTACGTTATAAGTTTGTCAGATATAATCGATCACATTATTTGATTCAATCAATACTGGCGATTGAAATGAAAGTATAGTCCACCCTATGTGCCAATGTGATGCAACATCTACTGCAGAATTCAGACGCTGCAGATTTGAACCATTTCGCAACCAGGATGTTGTTTCAATTTCATAAGCACTGGCATACTATTAACGCAATGTTTACCAAAAATCAAATTGTTAATGCGCATGCAGGAATAAATGTCGTTCAATCAAATTTCATCATTTAGAACATTCCTATTTCTTAATTATATTACTTCCTGAACCTATTACTATTACTGTTAAGAAATGGGGAATATAACAAGGGTAATAATAATGCACAAAATCAAAGCGTTCATTGGTTAACTTTATTCGCAAAAAGGAAATTTTACTGACGATTTTTATAGATGAGTAAAGCGACACTTATCCTTTAGGTGGTCCAATAAAAAGTAGCACAGTTGTGATACAATATTCTAGAAACTTCGAGAACACACAATAATTTGCAATCATCAAATTAATTCAATAACTGATCAGACCAGTTCGTTATCAAATACCTTATACTAGTTGCAAGTGCTTGCCAAGCTTAGGTAGTTGGAAATCAGCTTTCTTGATGACTGAACACTCTGTAGTTAAAAGTAACAACCATATTATTCGGTCCAACTGATTCTTCTTGTCGAAAGTTTAGGTACTCGCGTAGTATTTTATAACAGTTATTAGGCAAATAGTATGCTTTAAAAGTGTTGATGAATTAGGTCAATGGTAACTTGTTATATATCAGAGTTTTTTCCTATTCGTCAAACATTCCTATCTCATAATTGCGATGAATGCCCATTCTTTGTGAATAAGATAACTTAACTGTCCATAAATTTGACCACGGATTTGCCTACAACTTCGATTTGATTTATTAGCAAACACATTGATAGCCATTTTATCGAACTGTGAAGATCATTTTTTTAAAAATAGAATGTATTATATAAGTTGCACGTATACTTTCTTTTTATTGATGACTCCACGACAACGAGAAATACACAATAAACTATGAAATCTATCTAAAGAAGTGAAGGAGATGAATATAAATACATGCATAAAATCAAATTGCAAGCTCGAAACATATATGTTCTTCTCTTGTTTACATACCTTATTTATATGGATTTAGAATATGATAAAGATCATATCATAGTCTCCACTGACATGGACTGCAAAACATTTCGCTTTTCTAGTTGGTAAGTTACATGATCTGTACAGAACCCTGTGAAAAACAATGAGTCGCTAAAGATGCTGACCTAACACAGATAACATTCATCCCACAATCGTACATTCTGCACCCAATACCTTCAATTTCTATGGTATATCCTAGATGTCTGAAGGGGCTTATTGGATACCACATGAAAAATTTATTGGAGCTACTGAGGTAACTGCTTC